TTACAGTATTTAGTATCATAAAAGTCTGGTAATTGTGAAGATAGGCTAGGTTTCTAAGAATTCCTTAATAGATTGATGTTGGCATATTTTTAATTTCTTTTGAAAAGGCGGATGGAAGGGATTCGCAAATTAGCCTCACCAGCCACCGCTGGAGGGTTGCCTTGGACGTGTAACTGTTGGATTGTACGAAGGCCTCGGTTCCGTCCCGCGACCTCGATGAATCCGCTTTTATCCGTCGTGTGACGGACACCGTCGGAACCAGAAACCACTATTTACTAACAATAACCAAGAAATGTGACCAGCTAAAATTCTTTTTACTTTTTATAACTTATTTTTCTATCTTAATGAGGCGTTGCATCCTTTGGTTGGCTAATTTGTGTTTGTCCTATTTTTGTTGGCCTTCCTAACTCTTGATCATGATGAATTAGTTTCAATACACGCAAACTCCTTAATATAATTAATTTGACTACTCTTACCTTAATGCTACCTTAGTTATTAAAAAGGAAACAAACTAGATATGCATATGCATAGGAAACCCACAAATGTGGGTTTCTTTAATTTCTTCTCAAATCATACATATGGTGTTAAGGCGAAAGTAATGATAGTAAGGAGCTTGTTTTATTTCTACTGTAATATGCTTGTGCCAATGAATTACGCCAGTGATTCCCAAACTGTGCGCCGCTGCGCGTGAGAGAAAACGCTGCGTCTTCTCGATCGCGCCATATGATTGCACTAGACACGTCGAGGTGCGCAGAACCTTCGCGACAGATTTGAAATGTTCTGAAAGCTTTTGCGGAAAGTATATAAGCAAGCGTTGCCGGATCGATTCAGGCAGTCGACTTATAATTTGAGTATATTTAAGTTAAACTCAGCGCTTCATATATAAATAAAGTGACAAATTAGTAAATGAGTTCATATTGTAATTTAGTTAGTGTTATATTACTTCTTGTTTGGTGTCTTTGATAAATAATATTGTGATTTTTGGCTCTTGTATCTTTGATAATGGACCGATTTTTGAACAGTTATAAACGTAATAGTGCAGATAAAGAAAGTATGCCTTTAACCAGTGGCACTAGTGTGAAGAAACGAAAATATCGTAAATATGATGACAATTATTTAGAGTTTGGTTTTACTTCAACAAAAATTAATGGTGAAGAGAGACCACAATGTGTATTGCGTATGAAAGTTTTGTCAACAGAATGTATGCTTCCAAGTAAATTGAGGCGCCATTTAGAGGCTAATCACAACAGCATGGTTGCAAACCTCGCGATTTTTAGCCAGGAAGTTAAAATAATTAAAACAACAACAAAAAATACATTTTTTAAAACTGCATCAATACCAAACAACGTTTTGCTAGCATCTTACAAGGTGGCTTACATAATCCTGAAATGTAAGAAGTCTCATACCATCGCAGAACTTATTCTACCGGTTGCTGTAGACATGGTGAGTATCATGATTGATGAGTTCTGGGAAACTGCTTTTAAAGGTGCATTTGTCCAATAACACAATTAGTCGGAGAATACAAGATATGGCTGAGGATATCAACAATAAATTAATTGACAAAATTAAAGGAGTCCAATTTGGATTACTGATAGATGAGGCTACGGATAATAATAAGGATGCTTATTCGATATGCTATGTACAGTTTATAGATGGTAATAATATTAATGAAGACCTGTTTTGTAAAAAATATCACTGCAGGAGGGAAGACTCAAGACCTTTTAGAGATTCTTGATACATTCATATTTGAAAATAATTTGAATTCGCCTAAATGCATTGGTGTCTGTACTGATGGAGCTCGCTCCATGTCTGGCTGTTATGGAGGATTACAGGCTCTTATTCGAAGCAAATCACCAAATACACTGTTTACCTATTGCATTATTCATAAAGAAGCGCTTGCGTCAAAGGATCTGAGTCCTGTACTGAATCAGGTGTTAGAATGTGTGGTGGATGTGGTAAATTTTATAAAATCTCGTCTATTAAAAGCAAGGTTTAAAAAAAATCTGTATGAGGATATGTGAGCAGAACACTCGTTTTTGTTGTACGATGGCTCTCTCGTGGTAATGTTTTATCACGTATCTTTGAATTGCGGCAAGAAATTTTTATTTTCTTTAAAGAAGAAGCATACAAAGGTGAAGAATATTTTGCTGATGCCGATTTTTCAGTAAAACTGGCATATTTATGCGACATTTTTGAAAAGCTGAATTTCTTTAATCGCTCTCTACAGAGGAAGAACATACACCTTTTGAAATTAACGGAAAAAATATCAGCTTTTATAAGAAACTCTAACTATGGAGAAGAAAATTGAATGAAGATACAGACAAAGATTGTTTTTCAATATTACACCAATTTTTTACGTCAAATGAACATGATCTTTTTCGAAATATAAAAACTATGTTTGAAGGGAGCATATATTACAGCTAATTAACTGGTTTGTGAAATATTTTCAAAATGAAACTTTCGGTAAGGTTGTATGGATTCCAGATCCATTTACCACTAGTGTTCCGTCCGAATTTTCTTCTGCAGAAGAAGTGAATCTCATCGAGTTATCTTGCGATAACAGTTTACAAGCAAAATTTTCAGCATGGAATCGACAGAATTTGGGATTTCGATAAAAGATGAATATCCCCTTATAAGTGATAAGGCTCAGCGGATTCTAATTCCATTTTCGAAGTCGTATTTGTGCGAAGCTGGGTTTTCGATGGTCGCAAGTATAGAGCAAAAATCAACGTGGAAAAGGAAATGAGAGTAGCCGTGTTCAGTTTAATTCCATGATTTGAGAAACTGTGCAGTGCTTTGCAGGCTCATCCTTCACATTAATTATTACATATTAACTTAATTTCAGTAAAGTAAAAAAATAATGAAAATACGCGAGTTTTATTTATTTTTATCTCTTACTTACATATAGTCATACTTAGGGTAGGGCGCCATGGAAAAATTTTAATTTAAAAAGGGCGCCGCTACTAAGAAAATTTTGGGAACCACTGAATTACGCTATTATTTTTAGGCACCACAGGCATAAACATCAACATCACAAGCATAAGTCTCGATCTCGCGATGACCATTCCAGACAATCGGCGACTTCATCTTCATCGATTGCAACCTTCCAGCCTTTATCTGACACCGGCCATCTCAATCAAACATCCCACTCTTCTACAGTAACAACAGCATCAGTATCAGCACCCGCTCCAGTAACCTCCGTCTCACCATATTCGACTTCAGAGACCGCCACCGCTTTCCCATTGCTCTTTTCTCCTTCTCCGGCAACAGGACCAACTGAGGCTCCGTTGCCTCCTCTTCCTCCTCCACGTGGGCAGTCATCACTTGCTGGCGCACTTCAAAGACCAGCTGCAGGCGGGGTTCGAGCTCCATCTGTTGGATCAAACTGCATTACAAGATCAGTTGATCATGAAGATTCGACTAGTGTTGTTCTAGCTGGAAGTCTGGCTACTTCAGCAGCAGCTGGGGTTGCGGTTCAGCTGCGCAGAAGACACCAGCCCGCTCTAGAGCTCCTCAACTCGGTTTGTTCACTATACTTTGTCCTACTGCCTCCTTCCCCTGAGCACTTATTCCTTTAAGGTTTTTGGTTATGATTCTTGGTATAACCCGTGGTCATTTCAACTATCGCATAGAAGCATGCTTAAATTTTTATGGTGCCAAATTTGATAAAACAAATTCTTTTATTTGCTCAAACTTTCTACTAGATCTTAGGCGTTAAGACCAAGATGGTATGGTCTTATTCTCTTGGTCACAGTCTTCCTTAGTTGTATGTTATCGTTTTCGTGACAGTCATTGTGACAGGGAGACCTTAAACGTGCCCAGTTCTGCATCATGTGCAATAATAATTTTGATAATTTTTAGTATTGGACTATTCACTTGGCTCGTTTCGCCTGCGTCGTCAATTTTAGATACCATCCTTAGCACAGATTTACAACTCTTCGAAATGACAAGTCTCGTCACCTCAAATATGATAGAATACGGGCGACAGCTTCTGCAAGAGCTGCTTTCGAAACGTGATTTTTAAGCCTTAAGGCCTTTTTAGGTCCCCTAGGCTTCAGAAACATATGTCCCAGCCATCTTCTTCTCGACCTCTACCCCATTATTTCACTTTCTCTTGTGCCTATGCGTCCTTCATAACCTATTGAAAGATGGATTGAAGGCGGATAAAGTAAGCCCTAATTTTGCTTAATATTTAGGCAAATTTGGAAAAATTGGGAGTTTAGCAAGGACAGCAAAAACGAGGCCCTTTGATTAAGTAAATTACTTAAAACAATAGTAAGAGGCATCTCCGGGAAGATAAATTTTTGCAACAAATGGCGATTGAGAGAAATCGAATATAGTGAGAGGAGTCAGGCCTAGAATCAGCTACGAAAATTTACTGTGGTAGATCCTCTTGGAGATATGGAAATTAAGGATCACAAACGTCTGAATAGCTTACCTTTAGGGATGCTAATTCTGGAATCTAGCTTAAATTCAAATCCTCTTTGGTGTTGCTGTGGTGGTGCTTATGTGTATATGTGTGTAGTGAGGGGTGGTAACCTATTGCCTGTCCGAAGAAGGTGTCAATAACCAACAAACACAAGACAAAACCCTGCGGACGGCATCTTACACCAGTTTGAAGATGCTTACACTACTTTAAAGCCAATTGAAGTGACACTTGGGATAAATTTCGGCAGACGAAGTCATAATGTGTTGGTAGGTTAGTTGGCTATATTAAATTTTATTTGAGGGTTAAGAATAAATGGCTAATAGCTTGGCTAAAGAGAGGAGAGATGCCACACAGCTTAAACAGAAAATTTCTCACGAGGCTTGCTTTCATTTGTCTCTGACGAGTTGTAACTTGTTGCGCAGGTTAGAGCCTCTCACTGACGATACTGACAAAACATTTGAGGATGTACCAGATCATTGGTTCAATACTGGCAATTATCATGAATACTATGGCAGGGGATGTAGGTCTTAGTAAGTTCCATAATGTCTCTGTTTCTGGAACTTTCGATTCATCCTCTTTTAAAACTATGATTCGAATATTTAAACTAGCTTCTGCTGAAATTTTGTTGAAGTGTCTTCCAGGCCCATGATAAATGTTATTCCAACTATTAAAGGACCTGCACCATTCAAAGGCTTGTCTGATTGAGTCAGTTAAGTTGCAGTGACTTTTTAATACCGTATTTCCTGAGATATTCTCTTATTCTCACTTTTTGCAAGCGAATTCGAAGGTCAGGAAACCCTTGCCTTTTCATAACTCAAGGAGGCATGAACCACTCTTATTTTCACTTTACTCCGGCACTTCTCCGGGACATCCATACAGAAGGTATCCCGATCCAAGACCAATTATCTGATTAAGCTTCTTGTCCTGAGATATAAAGACATTACGCAGTCCATATTAACGACGTACTTTCTTTCTATGGGTCTTGCTTTTTTCTTATTAGGCCGAATTTATTGTCATCAAGTTGTTTCTGTCTTTCCTTATTGGGATTCATGTAGGCCTAGAACTACCTCAAATTGAATACCGTGCGATGGTTGAATATTTGCTTTGGAGTTAACAAAGTGGTGATTTCTTAACTCCCCAACTCTAGAGACTATTCGTTTTAGGGGTATAACTCTTTTAGCCTCACTAAACCATATAGACGCCTTTGTTCCAGAGAAGCAATGCTAGTTGAGAAGATCGAATGTTGGATAGACTTCTCCAGCTTCTTACTCTTTAAAAATGTCTCTGTAATGCGCAAGAATCTTGAAAGTTTTGAGGAGATTTGATCTGTAAGAGCAGTTGTGGGCATATTATCCGAATTCTCCTTGCAGACTAGACACTTGCAAGAGCGAGTCAAATTAACTCTATACGGCGAAATGGCAAGAAAAGAAAATAATTCTTAATTTGATATATCTAGTGAGATTTCCTTTATCTTTACTCATTAAGTAATTATTTACGC